CAGACTTTTAAAGGTTCCACGATCGAAGTAGCGCGTCCTCTCGCGGGGCAGGAGCTGAGCCACTCTGGCCGTGCGAGCGTGAGTTTCCCTGCGGGACGAGTTCCCGGGTCCTGACGCACGGGGCCCTGTGGACGTGGGAGCAGAACTGCGGGGAGACGCGGTCTTGGAGACGGACCCAGGCCCCGTCCGTCCGTCCGTCCAGGCGTCTTCTCTTTGCGCCTGCGGGGGGGCCACCCCGGCACGTTCCGGAGCGTTCCCTGTGAACCGCGGTTAGAAGGTGGCGGCGAAGAGGGAGAGAGCCTACGCTCCTGCCGACAAACGGCCGCGCTGGGCGACGGTCCGGCCGGAAGCGGCTGCTGCTACGAGAAGCAGGGTTTCCAAACCTTGTCTGTCTTCCACGCGGCGGCCCGCTCGGAGGGGGGGAGGGGAGGGGAGGGGAGGCGCGGGGCGGGTTTTTAAATGGCTGTGGCAGCTGTGCGCCGGCCTCCCCGCGCTGGCCTCACGCGGCCGGGGCACCCCACCCCCCAGCCCTGTGCCTTTCACGGAACACAGCGACCGCCCCCGCCGGTGACGGTGACCGTGACCATGACCGGGTGCTGGGCATTCCTGCCCCCACGAGGCAGCTGCCGCCTCGCCGCCCAGAGGCAGCTGTGTCTGCTCGCAGACCTGGCCGGTTGGTTTTACTGCAACAGTAACGAGGCGGTTTTATTAAACGCAGTGACCGCCGAGCCCCAAGCGCAGAGAGAGGGAAGAGCCCCGTGAGCCCGGGGCTCGTTTCGTTCTGCGTCCGCGTCCCCGAATCGCAGGAAACTCCCCTCTGCCCCGTCGAGGGGAGAGCGGGGCGTCGGAGGGGCCGGCGTTTCTCGAGAAGGGCCGGGCTGGGGCCCGCCAGTCCGGGGGGGCCGCCCCCTACACACCAGGCCGGGGTCCTCTCTGGCGTGGACAACTCGAGGGTCGGGAAAACGAGTGGCTGCAACTGGCTGACACCCACGAAAAGTAAAAATCCGCTCCCAGTGACAGCCCCACAGCTTGGCTGGCCGTTGCTGGCGGCTGCCCGAGCACTAACTCGGCCTCCTGAGCGCGGGCTGACCGCAGGGGTGGGCAGGGTCGCGGGGCCACCTTCAGCCACCCCGTGGGGAGGGTGTCCCAAGAGCCGGGTCTCCGGCCCCAGCTAGCAGCAGCAGGCGGGGGGCCGGGTGGCCCAGGGCAGCCGGTCAGCCCAGGGACAAGGGCAGGGTGGCCACGGCCCCCGGGGCTGCCGCAGCAAACGGCCCCGCACCTGGTGGGGGGCTCCGTGGGGAGCGGGCTCCCGCCCCCAGCAGACTCCGGGCCCCAGCCTCCTTGCCTTGCGGCCGCAGCACCTCGGCCTCTGTCTCCACGCGGCCCCTGCGTCTCTGCCCTCCCCTGGGCGTCGCTGATGAGGACACCTGTGACCGACTCGGGCCCATCGGGCAGTCCGGGAGGATCTCCGGACCTCCAGGCCCTTGACCGACCCCGTCTGCGCAGACCCTGTTTCTGGACCAGGTCACCTGCCCAGGTTTCAGGCTGTGACTGTGGACACGGCTTTTCGGGGCCCCACTCGGCCCGCTGCAGGCACCCCGTCGCCCCCGGGAGGCGACACCCCGCTGACACGGCGGCTTCTGGCTGCCTGTGGGCCTCTGTCCCTTGCCTCCGGGTCACTTCCCTGTCTCCATGGCCTGCCGTCCCCGAGATGGCATGCACGAGGCCTCAACACCCTGCTCCCCGCCCCAGCTTTTAAATGTTATTTTTATGGGTGTGAGAGAGAAACATCGATTTCTCGTTCCACGTATTTATGCATTCATTGGTGAATTCTTACAGCATGTGCCCTGACCGGGGATCGAACCTGCAACCTTGGCCTGCCAGGACGACGCTCCAACCGACTGAGCTGCCCGGCCAGGGCGCGACCGTATGGCTCGCGAGTTCCGCCTCAGTGAGGCTGTGCCTCGGGGATGCCCAGCCCCTCGTCACCGGGGCCAGGTCGTGGGCAGCTCCGTGGGGGGCCGGGGGCCTCCCTGTGCTCACGGCCCGGGTTCCCAGGATGCACTGGGTCCTGAGTGTTACAGCGTTTACCGCGCCGTCGAGAGTTTCCGTTTGTTCGTTGGGATTCACTGACAACTCAGTGGTGTCGTTTGCTGGGACAGGGGCGCTGCAGTGTCCAGGGGGCGGGCGGCACCGCTCTGGGCACCCTTCCCGTAGAAAGGGTCCCGCTCGGACAGGCGGCCGGCGGCCTGCCGGGGTGTCGGGGGAGGCTGCACCTACTGAGCGCTGCAGGGGCCGCGGCGGCTGCAGCCCGAGCCTCACGCGGTGTCCGGCTGGGACCCCCTCCCCCCCCGCAGGCGTCCCTGTGCCGTCCCCAAGTGTCTCATCTGTAACCGTCACATGCGCCACTTGGAGCGGGGGGCGGGGGGGTTACACCTGTCTTCCGTCTGAGCCCCTTTATCCTCCGCCGCACGCCCCCGGCCCCGGGGAGAGGGTGAGACCTGCCGTGTGCGCTGAGGTGGGGCGTGCGCCCTGTGAGACCTCGGTGAGCGTCCCCCGCGAGACCTGGGTGAGCGTCCCCAGGGAGACGGGCTCCCACACTGCCGCCTGCACGCGTGGTGTGAAAGGCCCGTCTTCTCTCCTGAAACAGGGTCGGCATGTTTCCCCACGGCCTCAGCCCTCTGGCACTGCTAGCGCCCAACAGGCTGTTTTGATTAAAAAGACGACTTTTCTGTAAGTCTGTGCGCGCTCGTCGTAATGAGTCAGGCACCTCTGCACGGGAGCGGGGCGGGGGGGGGGGGCGGGAAGGACAGCGGGAAGGCCGCGCGGTCCCAGGCCGCACCGCTGCCTTTGGGGGCTCCAGGGGCCGCCCAGCCCGCTGGGAGGGTGGCGTGCCTGCGCCTCGTTTTTCTCCGGCTGTGGGCAGACAGGGAAACTGAAGCGAAACTGAGCTCGTTGATACAGACGGGTCCTGACCACAGGAGGGTATTTCCTGAAAAGACTCTCTGGTCAGGGAGGTTCGTGAGAACCGTCCAGGGCTGGTGACCCCGTTCGCGGTTCCAGATGCATCTGCCGGCTCCGCGCCGTGGCTCCTGGGACACGGCGGCCGCATCACGGCGTCTCAGGCCCCCCGTGCCCACCTGTCACAGACGTGGGGACCAGAGTGGCGGGCCCGAGGGCGGTGGGCGTCGGGCTGTGTGTCGCCCAGAGCGGCTGCCACTCGGCCACACACTGATGGCGATCGGCGGCAGGGAAGGAATGGGCACCGGGACGGGGGCCTCTGAGGTCAGGGCCTGGAGCCGGAGCCCAAGGCCCATGGAGGGAAGAGCTGGGCTCCCTACCCAGGGGCCGGGCCGGGCCTCAAAGGTCAGGACAAGACGAGGTCAAGTCCACTGACGCTGGCTCTGCGCTCGCTTGAGGCCGGGAGCGCCCGCCCCGCTCAGCCCCCCGCCCCCCAGAGGTGGCGGCCACTCTGCACGCACTCTGCACGCTGACGAGGCTCATGTGAGTCAGAGCAGGGGCCCGGGCGCCGGGGCCCGCATCCTGGAGGTGGCCTTGGCCGCCTGCCCCTGCCTGTCCCTCAGACGAGACCGGCGGGCGGGTGGGCGGGGCACATGCTCAGAGCGCAGACGCTGGGGTGGCGGTAGGTCCGTGAGAAGCCGCTGAGGGAGTCCCTGTGTGCCCACCCCCGGTTCCCCGAAAAATGACCCCAGTCGCGGCCAGAAGACAGACACTCGGACGGGGGACGGCAGGATGTCCTGTCACTGGGAGCACCCTTCAGGTGGCGCCCTCGCAGCCCCTTCCCTCCCCCAGCCACCGGCCGCCCCGTCTGTGTCCTGTCGCCTCCAGGCTGGGGGCGCGGCCTGTGGCCCAGGGGCGGGCTCTCCCCGCCGGGCCGCCTTCACGGGGGGGGGGGGGGGGGGGATGCTGCGTGTGTCGTGTGTCGATGTCGCAGCTGCGTGGCCTTGGCCGCGTGGAGGGGGCACACTTTGTCCCCGCACTCGCCGGCCCAGGACACGTCCCATCCCCGCTCCAGGCTCTGGCGATGGCGAGCGAGGCCGGGGGAACGCCGTTCTGCGTCCCTGGGGCGGGCGCCCTGGGTGGGGGTTCGGGGTCGGGGGCCGTTGCGCGTTTGAGTGGGAGAAATCGCCGAGCCGTTCTCTCGAGGGCCAGGCAGGTGGGCCTCTCCGGCTCCCAGGCGAGCCTCGCTGCTGGGAGGGCAGAATGAAGCCCCTGTGGGGCGGGTAAGCCCCTGCCCCAGCTCCGGGTCAGGCCCTGGGTGGACGGCGGCCGGCGGCTGGGGGAGGGGGCAGAGCAGGCTCGCTGTGTCCCCCGGTCGCCTCCGCTGCCCCAGGCTCCTCGCTCACCTCTGAGCCTGAGGACCGTGAAACCTGACTGAGGTCATGCCACCCGATCCCCCTCTGGGGCCAGGGACGCTTCGACGCCCCCCCCCCCCGGGCGGCAGACACGGGCTGTGAACAAACCTGGCACGGAATCCGTGCAGCTGTCTGCTCGTGCGTGGTAAGGGATTCTGGCCCCAGCGTAGCCACCGAAGCGAGCTTGTCACAAGACAAGCTCACCGGAAGGGAAGTGGCTTTGCTCCTCGAGGACCGGAAGCCGGCTCCGGCTGGTGTGGCTCCGTGGACGGAGCGCCGGCCCGCGAACTGGAAGGTCCCTGGTTTGATTCCCAGCCGGGACACAGGCCCGGGTTGCCGGCTGGGTCCCCAGTGGGGAGCGCGTGAGAGGCAACCACACACTGATGTTTCTCTCCTTCTCTTTCTCCCTCCCTTTCCCTCTCTGAAAATAAAATCTTTAAAAAAAATAAAAGAACTGGAAGGAGTGTCCAAGCTAGAAATCAGAGGGGCCGGAGCCACCGGAGCGCCGCCCACCTGGGGCCCCAGTCTCCTGGGAGCAGATGGGTGGTTGGGGGGGTGGGGACCTCCGGGGACCTGCCCGGGACCTAGCGCACAGGGGTCTCACTGTCCTTGTGTCCCCTGCAGACCCAGAACGTTCAGCTGAGCAAAGAGATGACGCTGGCCAGCAACCGCAGCCTGGCGGAGGGGAACCTGCTGTTCCAGCCCCAGCTGGACGAGCGGAAGGCCCGGCTGACCCAGAAGTACCAGGAGCTGCAGGTGCTCTTCGAGGCCTACCAGCTGAAGAAGGCCAAGCTAGGTAACCCTCGGGCGGCCCCTTGAGGCTGGAGGAGCTGGGGGAGGCCCACGTTCGCAGGCCTTTGCAGCCGGGAAAGCAGTGTTCGCACGGGAAAGCAGCAGGCTGGGCCGGGACCGCCGCCGCGAAAGAACAGTTTGCGCGCGGGGCCGTGACCGGGGTCGCCTCCCGCTCGCGGCACGAGAAAGGCCGTTTTCTGAGTCCTCCGTCCCGTGCAGGCGGCCCCCCGGGGGCGATGGAGGAGACCGGCGCCTGGGCTGGCGTGGTTCACTCTCACGCCCCAGTGCGCAGCCCCTGGCGGGGGGGGGCGGTGAGGATGGAGCACCTGCGTGCTGTGGGCAGGTGGCAGGGAGACCGTGGGTGCGGGGCTCAAAACCACCCGCCCAGCGAGGGTGTCGGGGGCGGCCCCATGCTGCCTCTGGTCAGACGGCGGAAACGCGAGCTGGTGAGACCCACCTCGGAGCAGCCGAGCGGCAGCACAGGAGATGGGCACACTCCGACTCCGCCCCCCACGACCCCCCCGCACGTCCCCACGGACCGGGGCGTTGGTGTCTGTCCAAAGATTCGCACCGCGGTGCCAGCTGGGCTTTGTCCGTGAGGGCAGCCGGACGTGGGGGCAGCCCGGGGGGCCTCTGCGGACCGTGGGCTGCACCGTGGTGACAGGACACCATGGCCTCCACGGTGGCGGTGCGGCTCACGCGGCCTGGGAGGGGCGGTGTCAGTGAGCAGAGCCCCTGGTCCGGGAGCAGCAGGACCCTGGGGCATGGGGCCGCCTGGGTGGGGTGTGGGATGTGCCCAGAGATCCTGACGGGGGCGGGGGCGGGGGCGTGCCGGGTCAGGTCCTGCGGCTCGGACGTGGGTGCTGTGTGGGAGTTGGTGCTGGGGGTTTCCAGCGCCCTGGGGACGGGGGCGCCATCACACGCTCAGTGACCGCCCTTTGACACTGGGTGGGCGTGCTTGTTCAGGGGGCACCGCCCTGGGGAGTCGCTGCCAGTGCCAGGGGAGGGGGGGGGCGGTCCTGTTGCCCTGAGGCGCCAGCACTCTCTGTGGAGGGGTGGCAGGAGGGGGTCAGGTGCTGCTATTTGGGGGCCGGGCGGTGCCCCCCTTACGCCACCCCTGCTTTTTTCCAGACAGCCAGCCCAGCAGCGCATCCCTGGAGACCCTGCTCGCACTCCTGCAGGCGGAAGGGGCCAAGATCGAGGAGGACACCGAGGTAAAGCGGCCGGCGTCCCCGGCTCCCTGGTCCCTCCGGGGGGTGGGCCAGGCGGCTCGGCCTGTGAGCTGGGGCGGGGCCAGCGGGGTCTCGGGGAGCTGCAGAGCACCTGGGCCTCGAGTGGGGGGGGCGCACGCCACACTGACTCGGCCAGGGTCCCGTGGGCACCCGTGGCTGAAGCGCCGTCTGCTCTGAGTAGTGGGCGGGCAGCGCGGGGGCCACAGCCAGCTGAGCACGAGGGCCTGGGCCTGGCTGAGCTGTCGGGTGTGGGGGGGGTGGGCGGGGGTGACGGGTGTGGCTGTGGCCACGCAGAGCGGCACAGTCTGAATGATCGGCCTGGTGGGCAGGAGCCATTTCTGTGCTGCTGACCTGGTGCGTGGCCGGGTGCGGCCCAGGGAAGGGGGCAGGTGGGGCAGACGGGCTGCCGCCCACATCGGGGGAGAGGACAGGAGCGGGGCGCGGTGGGGGGCCCGTGGGAGGGGGGCCCGGAGTCGGGAGGGGCTGTGCCGTCTCCCCACTGCGGCGGGGGGTGGGGGGGGCTTTACCCCCCAAGGGCTGGGCCGCCGCGGTCACCCAATGGGTGTCTCCTGCCGCTTCCAGAACATGGCGGAGAAGTTCCTGGATGGAGAGCTGGCCCTGGACGCCTTCATCGACGTCTACCAGAGCCAGCGGAGACTGGCCCACGTGCGGAGGGTGAAGATCGAGAAGCTCCAGGAGATGGTGCTGAGGAGGCCGAGGCCGCCGCAGGCCCCGGCCGCGCTGCTGCTGCCGCCCAGGGCGCCCGAGCCCGCGCCCGCCGCCCCACTGCCCTACCCTGCCCCGGAGGCCGGCGGGGCCCCCTCTGTGCTGCCACGGCGCATCCCGCCCCCGGTGCCCGCAGGACGCTTGGCCACGCCGTTCACCGCTGCCATGGGCTCGGCGCAGGCCCCCCCGCTCCCCGGACCGCTGTGCCCGCCCGTGCCCCCCCGCGTGGGCCTCCCGCCCCAGCAAGGATTCTCCGCACAGTTCGTGTCGCCGTTCCCACCACCGCTCCCCCAGAGGCCCCCCCCTCGGCTGCCTCACCAGCCGGGCTTCATCCTGCAGTGAGGGGCCCCGTCTGGCCCGAGACGCCCACCCTCCCCCGCTCCCGCCGGCCCGCGGGCCGGGCCGCGCTCGGGAGGCCGCGAGGCCGCGCTGTGGGGCCCCGGTTTGCGCCCCAGCCTCCGCCGGCCCCGACCTCGAGCCAGTCTGCAGCCCTCACGTGGTGTCTGAGTCTTGTGTTGGTGAACTCGTGAACCTGGGGCCCCCCCCAGAGTCGTGGCCTCCCGTCGAAGCTTCCCTCAGAGGCACAGTACCCTCTTTCTGCTTTCTTTCCGAGACGGTCGCCGCCCCAGCCTGTCACGGCCCGGAAGGTGCTCACGGAGTCTGTGGGGCCGCCCCTCCCCCAGACCGGGACCCCTCAAAGCCACACACAGGGTTTGCGCTTGGCCCACGGCCACGTCCGGGCCGGCCCGCGGGCGGGGGGCGGACTTCGCACAGCCGCTGCCCCGGCCCCCCCTGTCCCGCCCGCCCCCGCCGGCCCCAGGGTTTCTATGAAGAAGTGCTCCAATATTTTTACTATGTGGGTGATTTTCCTGTTTTATATTGGGAAAGAAAACTTTTTTGACACAAGACCATTCAGGGAAACTTTATAAAAACACACATGATGTTTTGAACAGCTGTAACTGCAGATGGCGTGAAGGCAATTTCCTGTCTCACGAGCAGTGCGTGGTCCCACCTGCGACCCGCAGGCCCGGGGTGTGTGCCTTAGCTTCACCTGGTGCCGGGGAGGGGCTGCCCACCGCCCCCTGCAGGCCCCCAGGCTGGGGGGGGGGCATCACCAGCTGCTGCCACCCAGCAGCTCCGGCTGGGCGGTCAGGAAGGACTTGTCGCCCCTGCAGGGGAGGAACAGCCCTCCGCCCTGGACCAGGAGCCCCTCCGCCACCGTCCTCGCCTCCAGTCGGGCGTGGGGCTCGGGTGGGCGGCGCAGGGACCCCCGCAGGAGGAGCTCGCCCCACAGAACAGAAGGTGCCAACAAACTAGGCTGCTCTTCCTGCCTCTCCGGGTTCCCGTCTAGAGGTGCCATGTCTGTGGGTGCCACCTGTGCTGAAATCAGCCTGGTGGTGGTCGCCACCCACTGTGGACGGCTGGTGCTCCGCTGTGGAACCAGCAGTCACCCTGGCCGGGCTGGTGACTGCCCACCCCGCTGGCTGCCGCGGGGGCCGCAGAGCAAAGGCAGGGCTCAGACGCCTGTCCTGCTGGGCCGTGGGCGGGGCCGCCAGCCTCTGTACCCCGTTTCCACCCGGTCCTGCTCCCGGACTCGAACTCTACTGTGTTGCGACGGTGTTGAAAGAAAGCGAAGCTGGGAAGGACGACGTACCGCCGCGCCAATCAGGGGCCTGCGGCATCCCGCGGGCCCCCGGGCAGCGCCGCTCGCCCGATACCTCCGCCGCGGCGCTCGGTGCAGGCGTGGGGGAGGGGCTGCCCGGCCGGCCTCGCCGTCTCTCCGGGGCCGCGGCTGTAACACGTAGGACCGTTTTTAATAAATAGAGGATTATTCATGAGTCCTGTCATTTATCTACCTGTTGGTGAAGGGCTTGATTCCCGAGTGTCAGTGAAACGGACTGGCGTGCCCGCGGAAAGCGAAAATCCAGGCCACTGCGCCGGGCGCACTGCTTGCGGGGCCAGGGGCACGGCCGCCAGGGTGGAGCCTCCGTCCTGTTCTATCAAAGTCGGGAGGCCGCAGTCAGGGGCGGAGGGAAGCTCGTTCCTCACGTGGTTTCCGGGCGAGGTTGCACTCTCTGTCCACAGGGTCGCCCCCACGTGCTGCACAGCTGATGGGAACTAAGACATTCATGTTTCAAATGATAGACTTCAGTGGCTGCCACTTTGCTCTGGGGACTGCCCCCCAGGTGAGGCGTGGCCCTCTGGAGGAGGAGGTGCCCGCAGTGCCCCACGCCGGGGGCCCTCGCTGCCAGCTGTCCCGGAGCTGCCCTGGGAGGCACTTGGGAACACGAGAGGGACCCAGAGCACTCTCCCTGCCACTGTGCTGGCCAGACACGCGGGAGACACTGCTGCGGGTTCCTGTGAGAACGAGGGAAGCGTCGCCTGAGAAAGCAACTGACTATTTAAGAGAATTTGTAGCTGATAGTTTCTCTTTTCCCGGTGGCTGCCAGGAAGCTCACAGCCCGGTCCACATTCACGCCCCCACTGCGGGCGCTGGCCTGGATGAGGGTTCAGTGCCTCATTCATCCTTGTCTGACCCTCTCCTGCCCTGTGGGTCCTTTGCTCACGAGAAGGTCCCAGGGAGGTCCCTCCCCGGGGAGGGACAGTACCTGACCCAAAGTACTTATTATTCGGGGTCTCCGGTTAAAGGTTTGCTCACGGAGGACCGAATGTCAGCTCAGTTGGAGTTGGTTCAAGTCGAGGTTCGCTGGTGTGTGTCGGGGGGGAGAACCATCCACTTCAAGGTCCCTTCTGAAGCCGTTTTCCCCTGCGAGTGAGCACAGGCGTCTGCGGTAGAAAAGCAGGAAATCTTACCCTTTGCGGCGGCGTGGACGGCCCTGGAGGACACACTTCATGCAGAGTGGGGAGGACAGGTGCCCTGTGATGTCAGCCCTGTGGGCATCTGACGAGCGAAATAAATGAACAGCCGAAATAGAAACAGACTCACAGATACAGGGAAGAGACTGACAGCTGTCAGAGGGCAGGGTGTTGGGGGGTTGGGTGAAAAAGGTGAAGGGATTAGGAACACACACACACACACACACACACACACACGCAACAGCATGGTGGTCGCCAGACGGGAGGGGTGCGGGGGGAGGAAAGGGGAGAGGGGGGAAGAAATGGTGATGGGAGGAGACTTGGGGTGGCGGACACACAATACAACGTACAGGTTTTGCATTCTAGAATTGTACACCTGAAGCCTATATAATTTTATTAAGTAATGTCACCCCAGTAAATCCAGTAAAAATACCCACCAAATGCTAGGTGCTTCTCAAGATACTGGGCATATTAAAAATAACACACCACCTTCACGGACTTCATGTTCTTGCTGGGTAAACTGATGAACACCGTGTCAAGGAAGAAATCGATCATCTGCTTTCTGGAGAGTGCTCGCGCTCTGCCACGGAGAAAGCAAAGTTTGACACGCCCTGGCTGATGTGGCTCCCTGTGCTGAGTGCCAGCCTGCGAGCCGAAAGGTCGCTGCTCGATTCCCGGTCAGAGCACACACCTGGGTTCGAGGCCAGGTGCCCACTGGGGGCATGAGGCAAACAACTGATGTTTCTCTCCCTCTCTTTCTCCCTCCCTTTCTCTCTCTCTAAAAATAAATAAAATGTTTTTTAAAAATAATAAAATAGCCCTGGCCAGTGTGGCTCAGTGGATTGAGAGCTGGCCTGAGAACCAAAAGGTCGCCAGTTCGATTCCCAGTCAAGGCACAGTCCTGGGTTGCCGGCCAGGTCCCCAGTAGGGGGTGCACGACAGGCAGTCACTCATTGATGTTTCTTTCTCCTGCCCTTCCCTTCTCTCTAAAAATGAATAAATAAAATCTTTTTAAAAAACTAATAACATTTCATTTGAAAACTGATCACTTGCCTTGCTAACATTTATTGAGTGTGATTTGTGGTAGGCAGTCTGCTAAACACTTGTACAGGGGTGGGCAAAAGTAGGTTTGCATGGAAAGACACAGGTTATGAAGACAGGGTCCTCGGTTCTTGAACTTAATGAGTGTCGGAAGGCTGCCCAAGAGGTGATCTGTTCAAAAACCGAATCATGTTTTCCCCATTAGAAACACAGTATTAGCCCTGGCTGGTGTGGCTCAGTGGATTGAGTGCCAGCCTGTGAACTAAAGGGTCACTGGTTCAAGTCCCAGTTCGGGGCACAGGCCTCTCGCAGGTCCCCAGTAGGGGGCGTGCAAGAGTCAACTAAATGTTAATGTTTCTCCCTCTCCCTTCCCCTCTCTCTATAAATAAAATCTTTTAAAAAAGAGGGCCCGGGGGCCAGGGAGTGGATGCTTGTCTGAGGCCACACAGTGGCCAGGAGCCATCCAAGCTGACCACTGCCCCCGCCCCCACACCTGCGTTTAATTCCCGCCCCCCCCCACCCCGTGGCTGGCTCAGTGGATTGAGCGCCGGCCTGCGAACCGAAGGGTTGCAGTTTCTATTCCCATTCAGGGCACGTGCCTGGTCACGGCCCAGGTCTTCCGGTAGAGGGCGCGCGCGAGGCAACTATCTCACATCTGTATGTTTCCCTCTCTTCCCCGCTTCCCCTCTAAAAACAAATCAATACAAATCTTTTTAAAAAATATTTATTTATTTTTGGATAGAGGAGAAGGGAAGGAGAAAAAGAAGGAGAGAAACATCACTGTGTGAGAGATATTGGTTGCCTCTCATAAGGCCCTCAACCGGTGACCTGGTCTGCAACCCAGGCTGGGAATCGAACCTGCGACCCTTTCATTCGCAGGCCTGCACTCAAACCACTGAGCTCCACCAGCCAGGGCTCGATAAAAATCTTAAGAAAGAAAAAAAAGAGCGTGAAAGGGTGGTCGAGTGGAGAACCAAAGTTTTGTTGGACTGCCGAGCCATGTTTCCCGTGAAGAGCTTCGCGGAGAGCCGAGCTGTTGCAGGTGGGAGGCGCAGGCGGACCGGGTTTGCGGGTCGCAGCAGTAGCTGCAGTGACGCAAGAGGACGTACGTCGCAGCGCAGCGGCCCTAACCGCACCCGGCCAAGCCCCGCACGTGTCCTCGCACGCAATCCTCCGCCCCGCCCCGCCCCGACGGCGCGCTTCGTGCCCGCCTCTAAGACGCGGGGCTGCTTCGGCGTAGACGGATTTATCCTCCTCCTCCCGCCCAGGAGGACGGCACGAGGCGCAGCTGGGAGTCGGGTTCGGGTCACGTGACCCCGGGGCTCTGCTGGCCAGTGGGGGAGCCCGGTTCCTGTGCAGGCCTGTTCGCCCTCCGGAACGTTTAGTCCCGACGGTGTGGCTCAGTGCGCTGGGCGTCCTCTCGCAAAGCGAAGGGTCGCGGGTTCGATTCCGCGATCAGGGCACTTGTCTGGGCTGTTGATTCAGCCCTCAGTCAGGACACGTGTGAGGGGCAACTGATGGATGTCTCCTCTCACACCGATATAGCTTTCCCTCTCCTCCCCTCTCCCTAAAAATAGATAAAATGGTTTTTTAAAAGATTTTATTTTTAGACAGAGGGGAAGAGAGAAACATCCATGTGCGGCTGCCTCTCGCGCGCCCCCTACTGGGGCTTGGCCCACAGCACAGGCATGTGCCCCCACTGGCAATCAGACCCGCGACCCTTCGTTCTGCAGACTGGGGCTCAATCCACTGAGCCACACCAGCCACGGCAACCCGCCCCGCTTTTTTTAGTAGTGCAGGTGTGTGTTGTGGGGCGCAGTGGTCAGCTTGGATGGCTCCTGGCCACTGTGTGGCCTCAGACAAGCATCCACTCCCTGACCTTTTTTTTTTTTTTAAAGACTTTATTGATTTATAGAGGCGAAGGGAGGGAGGAAAACATCAAAGTGTAGTTGCCTCTCGCACGCCCCCTCCTGGGGACGTGGCTCAAAGCCCAGGCCTGTGCCCTGAATGGGAATCAAACCAGCGACTCTTTGGTTCACAGGCTGGCGCTCAATGCACTGAGCCACACCAGCCAGGGCAATAAAGAAAACCTTTTTTTAAAAAGGAATTGTTTATTCACCAGTGTATTGTCTTTTCCCTCCTTGTACGAGAAGCCCCGTGATACTGATGTCCTTCTTGTGTCTGCTGCTGTACCACAGCGCCTGGCACATTCGGCAGGGCAAAGGTGCTCAGTACATTTTTGCTAAAAAATAGCAAAAATACAGGGCACCTTCCCCACTTACGGAGATCAGTTTCCAAGGCACTTGCACACCTGACCCACCTGTACCTCAGCCCCCTGTGGGGGGACAGGGCCCCACTCCACTCTCTAGGACACGGAGATAGGCGAGTAGACGCTGTGTGAGGCCACGCAGTGGCAGTCCTGCCAGCCGGGCAGGAGCCACCCAAGCTGACCCCCCCCACACCCACACAGTCCTGTTCCAAATGCTTGAGCTGGGGTGGGGGCGTCTGAGGGGGGTCGGCGAAGGCAGGTGAGTCCCCTCCCCAGGGAGCACCGCTGGGGAGGAGCACGTGGCGGCCAGCTGTGTGCCTGGGAGCCTGGGCCCCTGTGAAGGTCTCTCAGGTGGACAGGCCGTGGGGGTCGACACCTCTGTCCAGGCTGGCCAGGAGCCAGTCACCCCGTCCTTCCCCAAGAGGCCTGGTTTGCCACAGAGCTGTGGTGGGGGGGGCAGGATCGAGAACCAGAGGGTCTGGGAACCAAGGCCTGGAGGTCGCCAGGGGCAGCAGAGAAAGGCCCGAGTGGCCGGGGCCTCCAGCCACACACCTCCTGGACAAACTGCCTGGGTGACTCCTGGCAGAACTGGAGCAGCAGAGGCCAGGTTTGCTGCCAACCCAAGTGCCGTGCTGTCACCTGCAGAGACTCAGCGGGCCCCGGGCCCTGTCGCAGCCCCAGAGAAATGAACAGCTCAGGCGCAGCCCCTCG